CACCAGTACAGAATGGCAATATATTGCATATATTAAATCCAGATCTGAAAACTTCCCAAACAGCAAGGCCAAAGGAACACAGAAGAATTTCCAGGCAAGAGAACCACAAATATAAAGTCGTCAAAAGCCGCAAACAGCATCTGGATTGTGTTATTTACAGTGCTGTGCGTAGCTATAATGCGTCTGTTGTTATCCAAACAGACAAGACAAAGCAAGAAAAAAAAAAAAGCTGAGAGAAAAACAATAGCTCTTCAAAGGTCCCAACACATCAGCCCTAGAGTGAGGAGCATAACCGGGGTGAGGAGCCTCCCAATTGCCACCAAGGTGTCCTATATGCTGGTGACACACTACCTCTCACCAGCAGAATAGGYAACTAGAAGAGAAGACCAGGAGGCACAGGATTAGATCCTAGAGCTTTCTATTATTTAGGATGAATGGAAACAAAGAGAAACACTTCCAAAATAGGCACCTGGAAACATATTTTTAATGCAGAGAATTTTACATTTGTTAGGAGTGTCCTTTCAAAAAAAAAAAAAAAAAAAAGGCTCAAGAGAGATATATCCTGGTCAGTCAAGTCAATAAATCATTGTATAATCCAGCATGCAAGTTTCTATGTGCTTTTCACCACATGAAACCAACGAGAGTCACCCAGCCCCGCAGCAAGGAGCTCACTGAGGAGGAGCGAGCCTGGTATTTGCCCTTGCTGTGTATCCATAGTCGCGTATCCGTAGTCACTCTTCCTCAATTCCCGATACTCGTGAACAGTGTTAATCTTCAAAACAAACGAGGTCCTTTGTACAAGCGCCTTCCTGTGAGCCGCAGCTTTGCCTTTGGCCCAGAGGAGACAGAGCTGGGCAGGTAGCGGCGGCCCCGCGCCGTCCCGCGGGCGCTCTCTGAAGGAGGGCAGCACAGTTGGGTGCAAATCTGAAACGGTAAAACTAACACGGAAAGGTAGGTCTTGATGCCCAGTGCTATGCATGTTACTGTCACTACAGCTATTCTTAGCTAATCTTTGAGCAATCACTGATAGTAGATAAAGTTGTTACTCCTCTCTTCAAAAAAGAGTGCAGCTGAATTTTTCAGTAAAGGTTTTAGCGTTGCTGTGTGATGTTTAAGAACTCACTTGAGAAGATTCAAAACCCTGACAGAAGGTAAGGCATAGTGTTCCTCAGCACTTAAAGCATTATGAACACTGTTGCATCTTATCTTCCCCTCCAGCTTTGGAAATCCACAACAAAGCTCACATGAGGGCAGGACAAAGCCCTTCACACATCTGCTGGTAAGTTATCTCTGTTATAAATTAGCATGATAATTTTGTTTTAGAATGTGCTTAGCAGAAYGGAAACAAAAAAATCAGGATGCTAGAAATTATTCAAAAAGACCAAATGTTACGAGTAATTATTAATCAGCTTGTTGGAACACTTCTTGTTTAAGAGCAACATTAATACATCACCTATCAATGGGTCTCAAAAACTTATTCGGGTTATGAACACGTGACCCAATTTAAATAGGTATAGCTACAGCACTAATAAGGTCAAAATTGATAATCTGCACTAAGATAAGTTCTGTTTTATACAGAAAAACAACAAAAGAAATGCAAGGCCCTCCCTTCCTGCCAAGTAAGATTTATATTTCAGTAATTCCATTCAGTGACTGCTCATTTCAGTTCTGCAGCATGTGCTAGGGTCTTAGGCAAATTGTAACTACCATAAATTAATGCCATAGTCTATTCTAATTGCAAGTCTTTTTTAAATATAGGAGCATGAATGTTTTTAACTGATCAGATATATTTCTATTATAAAGCAATTTAGCCAGTAAAATAATTCTGTATGTCCTTGTTCAATCAAGAACACAGCCCTCTATGGAGTAAGTAAACTAACATGATTTTTCAGTTGTCTCATTATACACTTTGGGTGATTATCAAAGGTTTGGGGTAACGTTTACTTGTATAACTGAGAAATATACAGATATGTAAAAGCAAGGCTTTCAGTGTTTACTACTCACACCAGTGAATTTAAGCTTATCACCCTTATCAAGGGCTCTGGAAACTCCAAGCCGTGGAGCGATACACGAGATGCTCGCGCAAGACTCGGACTGCAAAGGCAGAACGATGGGTCTGTAATTCAGTATATTCTTGCTGTGTCTCCTTCCCCTCCATAATAGCCTGTGTCACAGTTAGGTGACAAATTGCCAAATTTTCCCTTCTACACAKCAGTTAAAATGAAGCCTTATCAGCCGCAGTGACACAGTGCCTGGTCACAGTTCTCCAGGGGTTGCAGACGGGCATGATTTGCAGGGGGACTTGTATCTGTGCCAAGGGCCACCTCATCGGCAAGGGCAGTGTCACCCTGACGAGGCTGGCGGCACCCATGGTGAAAGAAGGGCTGTGGCCTTCCTTAGTCATCGTCTCCCACACCCCTGGGCTGCATTTCGCACGTGCCATTCCCATTGTACATTAAAGTGATTCTCCAGGTATTACATAAGAGCAAACGTCAGCCTCGATTTCTGCGTGCACACATGCGTGCAGTTGTGGATTATGGTGTTTATTTACTTGGTTAGCTAAAAACAGCGTTGAGGTATTTGCTTTCTTATGTTGCTGCCCACAGAGAGGAGAAATGAGATAAAAACACAAGGTCAGCACTTAGCCACCTGATGATGTTCGCAAGTTAAAGCTTCACTTAATGTACCTTGCTATGCATTTAATAGAGCCAGTGGATTAGCATTAGAAGTAAGAAAGAATGGAAAACAGACTAGCAAGACACGGAGTTTCCTTTTCAGTTATTTTCCAGCTCACCCCAAGTTGACTTTTGGACAAGCTGACAGCCTGTGTTTCATCCTGAGAGCACAGATACCTCTCTGCGTTGCAGTTAACTGGCCTCTCCAGACCAAGCCTTTCTTGATGGCAGGAGAAGCAAACACTGGTGTGGCCGATGTTACCAACATCGGCGGGGCGCTTTGAGCACTGTATTGCTGTGACAGCACCCAGCAGGAGCAGAACAACATTAGTATTACTGGAGGACAGAGAGGAGGCTCGTGACGAGAGACTCTAAGCGAGCGACCTGTAATCGCAGTCCCAGCAAACGCCGAACACACMGGCCAGTCCTCTGTCCTTCAGAGGCGAAGAATGTTCAAGAGTTTAACTTTGATAGAGAACTATGTTCAACCAGACCTGAAACCCTCTTCTCTATCTAAAGGAGCTTTCATAGCCTATCTGGATAAAGTTGCAGCTCTTAAGGGGGGCCAGGCATGAGGGTTTCCAGCCCGCTGAGCACTGGCGCTGTGGTGCAGCACAGCAGACCGCTCCAAACACCCGCAGACCTCTCCAAATACCCACACGGGAGACATTTCATCACCCTGTCAGCATTAACTTCACATTGCTGTGCTTTGGCTGGCTGTGTCAGCCTTGAATATACATTTGAATTAGTTATGAAAAGAAACAGTAATTAAAAAAACACACACACAACAGGTAAACTTTCCCAGGAAATAAGTAATAAATAGAAGGGAAGTTTTTTTTWATTTTTTCCTGCCATTATTTTAAAGCTTAATTTTCATAATGTCCATTAGAAATCCAGGAAGGTGAGCATTTTTCTGCCCTCTGCACTGTGAAGCCCCACTGTGTCACTGAGGGAATCGTCCRACACAGCAGCCCGGCCCCGGCTCCCTTCTCCAAACCCGTCTGCCTCCCTTTCTGCCCTGCAATCCTGTGTTTGCTGATGCCTTTTCCAAGAAAAAGCGATTTATGCTCAATTATGGCCTTGCCGTGCACGTAAGTGATATAAAAAAAGCCCTTGACTGTTTATGCGAAAGAGCTGCATGATTCCAGTGGAAGAATTTACACCTAAGTAAACTTTTTGCCCCCACTGGCCGTTCTGCCCGAATTCGATACCTCCGCCCAGAGCGAGTAAACAGAAAATGGGACGTGGCACCAAGGTAGCTCTGCGGAGCAGCTGCCCGGAGCGCTGGGCAACAACAAAACTTCCTGTGAAAGTACCCAGGGCCTTTAGAGCATAACAGAAACTGATCTTCGGAAAYGCGAAAACAGCCGATAGCAAAACATGAAGGTTTGGCACACAGTGAGCTGGAAGGAAAGGCCAGTGCCCCGACAGCCTCTGGCCCCAGGCTGCAGACACAGCTCTAACTTTAGCTGCAGGATTAAAGCACACTGGCAACTTTGAGCATTTTCGCCCAGTATGACACAAAGCCAAGACTGTGGCTCCAACACCGCAGTTATTCTCCAACCAGTACCATGAGTTTTCTAAGGGCTTTACTCCACAAAGGAGGCACCTTTGGAGCATGACTAGAAAGACTGTGCTTTGCATGGGGACACCGCAAAAAAAAAAAAAGAGACCTACGAGGCTTTTAAAACAAAACGTTGAGTTTGGGGAGAAAAATAAGTAAGTGAAAGGAGAAGAAAGGAAAGGAGGTGGGTCGAGCGCCCGTCGCCTCGGAGCCCGGTCGCGGCAGCTCGGGGCTGCGGGGGGGTCCTAGCGCGGCCGGGAGCCGCTCGTGGCGGCCGAGAGGCGGCGGTGCCAGCGGGGCGAAGGCGGCGGCGGCCGCGCGGGCTACTCACGCGGTAGGTGCTCTCCGTGAGCCTGTTGACCTCCTCGGGGTTCCGCGACATGGTGGCTGCGCAGGCGGCCGGCGGGACGAGCTCCGTCCCCACCACGAGAGCGCCGCTGCCGCCGCCGCCGCCCCGGCCGCTCGCGCCGCCGCCGAGAAACTGTCAAAAACTTGCGGAACCGGCCGGGCGGCGCCGCGGGGCCGCGGCGGGGCGGGGCGCAGCGCGGCCGCCTGACGCGGCGCGACTGGCCGGGCGGGCGGGGCGGCCCGCGCCGCCCCCACCTGCGCCGCCGCCCGCGAGGCGCGAGGGCGGATCCCCGGGGAATCGGGTAGCTTTGGGCGAAAGAGGCTGCCTCGCTTGGCCCCGCGCGATAAGAGAGGGGGGATGCGGCCCGTGCCCTCTCCCCGCGGCGCCCGTCCAGCCTGGGAGCAGGTTTCTCTGTCCCAGATCCCAACCCGGGGCCCGGCGGGGCCCCTCGCCCAGAGCTGGGTCTGAGGGGCGCGACCACCAACGAGACCCGCCCGTCTGTCTCCACTGGAGCAGCCTGCGCCGTTTAGGCGTCCTCGGGCTGTAAGTAGCCAAACAAATGTTGGAACACCTTAAAAAAGGATAAAATATCTCAGAGATTGGGAAATGGAGACAGCTGGGTGGCAGGGACCTGCTGGTGGGGTGGTGTTGGGAAGAGCTGCTAGGACTMGTAACCCTGGTATGTGAGGCCGGCCCCGGCTCCGCTTCCCAGCACATGAGGCCCCTGGTGTTGGACACCGCTTGTCTTGGTTGCTGTCTCGTCCGTGGTTTTTGCCCAATTTATTGCAGCAATAAAATGTCGGGAAGCRTGCGGCAAAGCCTGGACTTGGAGCTGACCCCGCAACGTTGGAATCTCTCGTGGGAGGAGGTTGTTATCGGGTTTCGGCAGTCGTAAAAATCAGTTTGTTCAAAYGTGCAGTGGTGCTTGTGGCGTTTGCGCTACATGTAGTTCACCTTTGGGGAAAAGTGAGGTGGAACCTTGAGTACAGCCGGAATGCCAGGGAGAGAGGAAGTTTGATGGGACGTCACCCTCCCAAGCAAAGTCTCCTCAGACTACTAATATTTACTACCTTAATGGCCTTTCTGTAATAATGCAGTTTATAGTGTTTTAAAACACTATAGCAGTTTTTAAAGAATACCCAGGYGGGCAAATGTAGCCACCAAGAAAGAATCCTTACTTTGGAGTAGCAGTTGCTTTTGTTGTTTTACTTCTGTACAGTTTAAAGAAAAAATGATCATAGATAGCTGAGACAATGAAATTATGAAAAGCCTGTTTCTGATACTTGAAATTAGCATTAGAGGAAATTATTCACAGAACCAATATGTGATTTAGTTGTATTTTGCTGAGAGAAAACATTGGGCTGTGTTCCTCTAGAAATTGTATGTTAGTATACAAATAATAATGTGGAAAATAATTTTCCTCTTTATTTATATTTTCCTGTTTCATGGGGTTGTATTTTTTTCCCAAATACTGAGAATATTATATGTGTGAGACAGCATTTGGAAACATTTTCTATCTTTCCTTATCATTAGAGATATTTTGTGTACAATATTCATAATTGGTAGTGTTCTGTATTGTTTCACTATTCTGTTTAAATTTGTGACTGAAAACCTTGACATTTGACATGCAAATCCAATTCTTAATTTTCAAACACCACATGCATAACTTGACAGTTTGTAGTACAAATAGTACAAAATACAAAGCTTTCAGATCTTATATTCTTTTAAAGTTAGTATTATGTTACGGCCTTAGCTGAGAGGAATCCTGATGTGTGCAAGTAGTGTATGTTTAGAATGGGTGAAGGAGATCCTACTTGCGCAAATGACTTAGGAATGTTCTTAAATTTAAACGTGCAGCAGTTCTTTAGTCATGTACTTTTTTAATTCAGAATATTCTGTTGTATCATACTCATCAATAACATCAAATTTTGGCTGCTGTAGTATTTCAGTTTCGAAACTCCTAATTATGCATTTTGTAAGTGTTTCTTAGTGACTCTGAATTCAGAGGTTTTTTTTAACCTTGTGCTAAGGAGCAATTCAGAACCTACCTGTGATCATCAATTACATATGCTATCAGAACTGATTCATGTAAATACTGATATGATAACTTTTTTTGAAACTTTTAACACAGATTATTTCAATGGCTAGAGAGGTGAAGAAGGGAATTTTCTTATTCTTGTGGTGAAGTTACTCTGTCATATAATTATGTCTTTTCACTCCATCTTTGTACAGCATCTCAAGTAATTGCCTCTCCAGGATAATTTAGGTCAGAGGAAACCAATAGGTCAGTAGGTCCCCTCGTCTAGCCCGCATCATAGCAGGGCTGACTTCAGCCCTGTGCTGCTCGGGGCTCCAGTTGAATTTTGAGTCTCCAGAGTTGGAGATTCCATAACAAGTAGTGTTGCACTCAAACAGCAGCTGTTTCAGTCCGGTCTTCAACCTCTGTTTGCAACAACCTATAACTCYGCAAATAAAGGAAATCCTCTGAAGCGTTCTGGGGGGGATTATTGCTGTGTTTTATAGGTGCTTATCTGCCGAGGTATCTGTTACCCACCCCACAGCATAGACCTCCTCTGTGTCAGACCCAGGAAACTGTTTACATGCTTTGGCATTAGCTTGTAACATGCTGCCTTTTAAGAAGATAAAACTCCTSTCCTTCCTCTCTATCTTTTGCTCTGCCTCCCATTACACTCTCCAGATCCCAAGACAGAAGTGTCTGTAGGCCTGTGGTCATGCATAATCTTCAGCAGACCCTCTGGAAACGGTCAGTTTAAGTGAGTACTTGGGGCATCAGCCCCCACCTGTGAGCTGGTCTCTGTGGCGGTTTGGACCGTAGTGGGTCCCTGACGGGAGCCACGAGGCACAGGGGCTGACGTGGAGGTTGGRCCCTTTGAACCTGGGCTGATACCCAGGATCCCCCGTATACCCCTGTAAAAAGCAAACTGTGGGCCTGAATCCTGCAACTGATTCCATGTGGGCAATGTAGACATTGTGATGTCTWCATTGTATGTAGCAACGTAGATTTGATTACAAAACTGCAGTCAAGAAATCAAATCAGAGCAAGTGCTAGTATTCATTCCCAGCAGAAGGCCAGTTCTCCTTTGTAGCATTTAAACTTTTGAAGACAAGAATCACCAAAAAAAATCCCTATGCAGTTGTCAGCTTTCTTGAGTTTCATAGTTGTAGCAAGGCAGTAGTATCATCCACATCTTTTGAAAAAAATACATAACTCGGAAATAATCCTTTGAGTAGATACATGTATTTCATTAAAATCAATGATGTTTATTAAGTATAATTGTGTTTTTGTAAGGGTCCTATTTGCATCTCAGTTAAATATACAAATATACTTTGGAAACTATTTAAGTGCAGTGTAATGACCCATTAATGTCARCTCATCATTGAATCTTCAACATGTGTTTTAAACAGCTTAATGTGACTGTAAGTAATTACATAAATTGTGGCTAAGCAGTGATAGCATATGCATGATATAGCCAGCTGTGGCCTATTTCATTCCCTGTGGTCATTAGCAGGCATTTAACTCAATTAAGGAAAAAAAATGCACATAGCACATTATTTAGTGATATCAGATGACGTTCAGAGTTGTTTCAGGGTGGGAATAACACTTTCTGAGCAGGGAATTAAAGTGACTGTCAGCTTGTTTTCTGCTGAATGGATTACTTTTAAAAGTGGAACAACCAGGAGAAAGTCACCTTGTTCCCTCGTCTGTTGTCCTGAGCTGGTTTTAAGACAAATGAGCAGTACCCCAGATCCACAGGTCAATTAAATAAGATATGAAGTGCTCTAATCAAGTGAAACAATAATGCTTAATTTAAGCATAGTGTTAATCTACTCAGCTTTATGGGGGAAAATTTTCAAGGAGGTGCAAAATGCTTTTTATAATCTTCCATAAGATTTCTCTCTTTTTTTTCAGACTTTTTAAATGGAGCAGTATTTTGTCTTTGCTTTGTATCCTGATATTGTATGTTTTGGTTTCTTCCTTGACAAATTACTTTGGCTGTATAAAGTGAATTATAATCAGATTTCTTGACTGTGGATGTTCCAGGATGTATCCTGGAAACAGGATAAAGCATGTTCTTTTTGAATTTGCATAGATTTAGACAAAATTAGGGTTTACAACCATCTAGCCAGCACTACTGAGAGCAGTARTGACCTCTTCATGTTGTTTACTGAACATTTCATTCAAAATTGTTATACTCCCACAGCTTATGTTGGCTCATTTCTTGCGGAGAGTAGATGTGCTTGCCTTGTTTCGTGTGTTGTGTCCACTAGATGGCAAGCAAACTACGCGTGAAGGAACAAAATAAGTTTATACAATTCTAATGCTCAAGGTTTTCTCAAAGTATTATGTAAAGTAACAGGATAGATACGAGTAGTGAGCAAGCAGAACAGCCTTTATATTGCTCATAAGCAGCCTTGGACTTTTTTTTTAAGGAGTGTAAGTACTGTTAGGATGTTCATGTTATTAAAATCTAAAAATGCCTTGGGATTCAATTTTCCTTTGGCTGTTGGCTCACTACTAGTGCTGGCTATATGGTGAATTACTTGTTACAAACTTCTAATCCATTTAAGTTCCATAGTTTTATGATGTGAATCATGCCAAAAACACAGCATTTTAAATATCTCCTTGCTTTGTTTTCTTCCTTCGCTAATTTGTCTAGTGGGGGATTRACTGACAACAGGTTAAATGCTTAAACTGATTTCACCTTGAGGCAAAATGTAGAGTACTGCAGCTCAGTGTAGCATAATACATCGCTGACCTTACTGCTATCAACAGATTGCGTATTAACAGTGGAGTCGGAATTAGCAGTGTTTATAATGGGGGGAAAGAGAAGGGAGCAGGGGCTGCTCGTCTCTGGGACGTTCTGCCTGGACCCCTGCTGACCAGCACTCGCTTTGAGGMATCTCTGGGCTCCAGGCCTATGGCTGTGAGGTGTAACTGTTCATTTCTTTCGTGTTTTTTCAGCTCAAAGTATCTGAACYGATGGGAGGTCTGTGTTGCCACTTGCCTGAGCAGGGTTTGTGCAGTGACAGTGCAGGTAGGTGCTGCGTGCCCTGGGGCAAGGTGTGGGCTGCGGGAGTCTGCGCTGGGAGCCGTGGTTGTGCACGTGCAACCTGCAAGGCAGGTCCTTGGAATGAGCTTTTCTCAGATTTATTTATTAGATTTTATTATCAAGATAAGTTTGTGCTGGAAGAGATCCTGCATGCCATTTAGCCTGTGTTATGTGGATGATGCAAGGACTAGGATTTAGGAAGGAACTAAGAAGCTTGTTTGGTTGTCACTTAAGCCTTTCACTGTAGGAGGGGAAGTAGTTGGCCTTGGAGAACTGTAAGCTGAGCCAGAGATGTAAGTGTGGTCCTAAGGCATTACTCTTCCGTAATACCAAGTGTTAGATCTGACTGATGTCAGCTAGGACTTGTTTTCTCTTGTATTACAACTGAGCATCACCTTGGTTGTGAGGAAGAAAGTTTTTGCAGTTTCTTCTAGCCTTTTTGTGCAAAGACTAGAGTTTCAGCCCCAGGGC